GGGAGGGGAGTCCAGCGACATAGCCATTACGTTAACTGCTGGTTCCCTCAATGTGCATTTTTAACTCTTTTTTTTTTTTGAGAGGTTTTTTTTTTTTTTTTCACTATAGGGCGCGTGCGCTCGCCAGACAGACAGAGAGACATAGAGACAGAAAGCGAGAAATCACCCCCCGGGGGGATGGTCACGCTGCAATCCCTTCTCCTCCATTCTCCTCTCGGGATCTTGGGCCCGCACGCACACGCGCCCGGCATGAGTTTTAAGCCACCGGGTCCAGGACGTGAACCGCGGTCGACTACGTGGGAGTCCAGCGACCTAGCCATTACGCTAACTGCTGGTTCCCTAACTCATTTTTTAATTCAAACTTTAAATTGAATTCTTAAAGCCTTCGGAATAACATTCTGTAGATACTATTCTCCTTTTTGGTCCCAGCATCAAATCTGACTTCATCCCGGGTCACAGTGAATGGGGAGAGCGCAAACTCCCCCCTTCCCGCACAGCACGGTCCGCACGTGCCCTCGTGGCTGTGCCCAGGCCGCCCGCTGCCATGCCCTCATCTCGTGCAGGAGGCCTCCCTCCTGCCCACTAGAGGATCCCTAGTTCTGTGGGAATTTGGAGAGTTCACTAGAAAAGCAACTTCAAATTCCTTCCCAAAGAAAGCCTACTCCGCTGCCGCATCCCTGCACGACTCCTCATCCTGCTCCACCGTCGAGGCCTTACTGGCCTGTCCAGTTCCCTTGGCTCCAGCTCTGGGTGTGCCCAGGCCAATGGTGCTGCTGTTGGCCATGGAGACATGTATGCACACACATGCACTCGCACATACATGTGCGCCACACCCTGACTGGGAGGGCCTCCCGCCAGCTTTCTCAAATGCAAGACGACTGTGATGGGACTTCCCCGTGTCCTGGTCAGCTCCCATGCCACGAGGTCTCCAGGAGGCCTGTGGAGGATGCCTCGCAGACTTCACCCCACCATGCCGCCACCCCCGGGCTGATCTGCGGTGTCTCTTCATGGGGTCTCACTGTCTGAGCACTCCACCTGGCAGTTAGGCACCCGAAGGTAAGGGGCCGAAAGATGAGAAATGCGGAGTTTCAGATAAACCTGGAACCTGATATTTCATCGTTCTGTTAGGAGTACTGTGAAATTCCTACAGCGCCGAACACTTACAGACTCTAGAGCCAGGACCGGCCCCGTGGTACAGCAGTTATGGGAGCTAGATCCCACACAACTGACCGTGGTTTGAATCCCAGCCCCGGCAGCTTGAGAAATGCGTACACCCAGGAAGGAGGAATGGAGAAGGGAGGACTGCAGTGTGACGCGCCCGTCTGTCTGCCCATGCTACATGCCCTCTGGAAATATTAAAGAAAACAAAGTCTAGGGCAAGGTGCATGTGAAAGGCTGATACTAGGCCTGGTCCACCGAGGCAGACCCATCATCTCCACCAGCCACTGGGAGGGCAGTCAGGGGACATGGTGTCAATTAGAAGTTAGAAATGTCCCCTAAACGTCCCTCAGTCATCACCTGCCCCGAGTCCCTTTCTTTAGTACAGACAGGACCCTGTATTGACTTAAAACAGGGAGGGATCTGTATAGCTGGTGACTACCCAGCCCTCCAAGAAACCCACTGTCAGGGCTCCCGCCCGGCTGACGGCTGCACCCTGCAGGCTCCTCTCCCAGCTGAACGGGAACCGCGGCCCCGGGCCTTGCCTTCAGAGCCCTCAGGGAGAAGGATCTGGGCACCCGTGGGCTGCTCCCATCCGACGACAGAGCATCGAACAACCCATCGATCTCAGTCTGTTCCTCAGGGAGAAACTGGGACCTCGAGGTCTGCCCCCCGCGGCTCCTGGTGTTCCCCATCTTTCCTCGTATTTGCCAGAACTCTCTGCAGAAGGAAAAGACGAGATTAGAGAGAAAAATTAAAATGCAATAGTGATCAAAATGAATGCTGACAACCACATGGTCAAGTTTGCACACCCTGACCTCGCCCAGACACCCCGAATGCTTCGGCCTTCAAACACGTTCTAACCGGGCAGAAGTTACCAGTGGGCGACAAAGGAGTGGGGCGCCCCTTCTGGCACCCGCAGTCCACAGAAACTCGCTCGCAGCTGTCGAACAATAGTCCTGGTTTCCTTATTTAAAAACACCATTCCCGGGACCAGTAGATGGCGTAATGATTACATTGCTGGACTCCCATGTAGCCGACTGCAGTTCGAGTCCCAGACCTGGCAGCTTAAAACTCACGCCAGGCACATGTATGTGTGTGTGTGTGTGTGTGCCCAAAATCCTGAGAGGAGAATGGAGGAGAAAGGATTGTGGCATGGCCATCCCCCCTAAGGGATGATTTCTTGCTTTGTCTCTCTGACCCTCTCTGTCTCTTGGGCGAGCACACGTGCTCTGTAGCAAAAATATCTCTTAAACAAACAAACAAACAAACAAACAAAACAGTTACCAGGATGGCCCTGTGGCCTAATGGTTCAGGGAGCTGAATCCCAAACAACTAGTCGTGGTTTGAATCACAGCCCTACAGCTGGAAAACTATGTTGGGCACCTGCGTTTGTGCCCTTAGAGGGGGACACACCCTGACTTAGAGGAAGACACACCTGACTTGCAGGAGGACACTCTGACTTAGAGGAGAGTACACCTCGACTTAGAGGAGAGTACACCCCGACTAACTTAGAGGAGGACACACCCTGACTTAGAGGAGAGTACACCCCGACTGACTTAGAGGAGGACACACCCTGACTTAGAGGAGAGTACACCCCAACTGACTTAGACGAGGACACACCCTGACTTAGAGGAGGGCACACCCCGACTGACATAGAGGAGGGCACACCCCGACTGACTTAGAGGAGAGTACACCCCAACTGACTTAGATGAGGACACACCCCGACTGACTTAGAGGAGGGCATACCCTGACTTAGAGGAGGGCACACCCCGACTGACTTAGAGGAGGACTACACCTCCTGACTCAGGAGGCTATACCTCTACTGACCGAATGCACTTAAGGTTGCTGGCCTGTGGGTCTCCATCAGGGACAGTTCCCCCAGGGGAGGGTTAGTGGTTCTGGAGGCCGGGGGTTCTGCCTATACCCACAGAGCACAGCCAGCCACCGCCGAAGAACGATGGGCCAGCGTCAGCAGGGCTGAAGTGAGCTGCCCTGGCTCTGGGCTGAGGGCTGGCCAGGAGGGCACTCCTGAAGTGCAGAGGAGCCCACTCTGCTTGCCCCTTTCAACACAGGGGCCCTCAGTAAAACGGAAGTTCCAGCAGCCCCCAATCAGTGACAAAGATTCTTCCCTTGACCAAACGTCCCCCAGGCTCCTGGCCCCTTCCCCGCACTTCCTTGTAAAACCTAGCTTCAGCAAGGACCTGCCACCCTTGATCTCTAAGGACCTTATCTAACCAGGTCCTTCACGCTCCACCAGCCCCCAGGAGGAATCTCCCCACCCCTGATGTTTCCTTAGTCACGTTGCACCTGCTGACCCCACCCCACTCCTCCACCGTAAATCCCCACCTGCCTGCAGTGTCCTCAGAGTTGAGTCCAACCTCTCCCCCTACTGCAAAGTCCCACTGCTGGCCCCTATACGTGCTGTGACACTGACAGTTCTGAGCAAGTTCTTCCTTAGTGTGGTTAGCAAGTATCACTGAATCTCTGTAAGGTCCAGGCATTAAATAAGGTAGCCCGTGGCATGTGACTGCCTCCTGGAGGCCAGAGACAGAAACAGACCACCCAGATGACTGAAGGTGGCTCCTGCCTTCCCGACTTGAAACCTGAGAACAGCCCACTTGGGGGCTCCAGAGCTGGGGAGGGCTCCCCCCACACCGCAGCGGAGGTGACCAGGGGCTGCAGCTCCTGAGGATGGCTAAGTGCAGTCCTCGGAGCTTTTCCCACTGGCTCGGCCAGTGAATGCCCTCCGCCCTGCCTGCCAGCCCCCACCTCCAGCTCCAAGCAGCAGTCCTGTTAGAGCCAGGAACCTAGGCCTAAGTGCCACCCTTCTGCAGAGATCCAGCATCTTGCCTGGGCAGAGGGGCTTTAAACCTGTTTCTGCCCCAGAGCTCCAGGCCCTTCTGCCAAGGGGCAGCCTGAGCCTGGGCAAGGAGTTGCCTGGGGACAGAAGGTGACCCTCGGAAGGCTCGCTTCCCCAGTCGATCTGCAAGGGCCTGGGAGCAGTTACCGCCTGGATGGGCAGACCAGGATGGCTGCA